CCTGAACCTGTTCAGCCTCCACAAGAGAAGGCTGAGGGGGATCTAGTGGCCTGTTATAAACTAGTCAGAGGGGACCAGCAGGCACTGGGGGAGTCCCTGTTCCCCTGAGCACTGCCAGGAGTGACTAGAAATAATGGTCACAAGTTGGCAGAGGGGAGATTCAGATTAGACATCAGGAGGCTCTACTTCACGGTGAGGGTGGCTAGGATCTGGAACCAACCTCCAAGTGAAGTGGTGCTGGCTCCGACCCTTTTTAAAATTTTTTTAAAAGGAGGCTGGATGAACACCTTGCCGGGGTCGTTTCACCCCAGTACTCTTTCCTGCCATGGCAGGGGGTCGGACTTGATGATCTGCTCAGGTCCCTTCCAACCCAACCGACTATGAAACTATGAAGATTGTGGTAGTCCAGGAATAAATTCTTCTGTGGAGTGTGGACTAGAGCACTGAGATGTTTGTGGGTGGGTATGGGGAAGGACTATTGGACACGGTGATGCAAAGACACTACGACAGCTGATTATGATCCCCCTTTATGCAAGTCTAATGCTTCACAAAGCATGTTGGGAATCTGAAAAAATGTAGGTGATGTGGGGGCATGATGTAGCAAGGATGCATGAAACTGCTTGCTGTGCAATTTTTGAAAGCCATGTTGAGCTCAGTGGGGAGTAAAATATAATCAACTTTTGAACAGCTATCAGCCTACTTGCACCTGAAAATGGAAATTTTCTCTATTGAAATAACCAAAAATAAAGTAAAATTTGAGGGAATGTAGAACTGAGGTACTGTTTGCTTGAAATCATATTATACAGAAAGCCTCTGTTAGGTACATGCTACCGCTCAAGGGCCTATTCTTCAAAATATGGTAGGGGATTTTAGATGAGGATACCGCCTTTCAAATGAAGAAAGTCAACGCTTTCTGCAAACCAAGTTAAAACATGTAGGAGACTTAGCTTGCAGTGTGTTACATGCTGCTATTTTCTACCAGGTTGATCTTTACAATTTTACACTGAAGTCACATGTTATTCATCTGCCATCCAGAACTATTTTAAGTTGCAATGCACTTCCATGCTGTACTTATATTCTAGCTGTTTCACATTCACGATTTTTAAAATCGCGGTCAGAACAATCTGACATCACTCTTTTCTGACCTGATCAGCTTCCCATAGGAATTGTGTGCACTGGTCATATTTGTCCAGAATAACTTTCTTTTGAATAAACGCATAAGGTTCAAAACCTTGCAATCCAATGAGCGAGGTCCCGCATGACTGGAAGAGGTAAAATATAGTGCCCATCTTTAAGAAAGGGAAGAAGGAGGGTCCAGGGAATTATAGACCAGTCAGCATGACCTTGATACTTGGAAAGATCAAGGTCATGGAACAAGAAGGAACCTAGTGTGAAGCTCCTACGGGAGAATAAAGTTATCAGAAACAGCCAGCATGGATTCAATAAGTTGCCTTCTGTGATAAGGTGACAGGCTCTGAAGATGGAAGGAGAGCAGTGGATATGATAAACCTTAATTTAGCGAGGATTTTGACACTGTCTCCCACAACATTTTCATTAACAAGCTAAGGAAATACAGACTAGACTAGATGCAAGTACTGTAAGGTGGCTACATAACTGTTTGGATCATCCTACTCAACAAGTAGTCATCAATGGCTCTATGTCTAGTTGGGAGGTGGTATCAAGTAGGGTTCCCCAGAGGTTTGCCCTGGGTCCAGTATTGTTCAATATTTTCATTAATGATTTGAATGATGAGTGCACAGTTAGCAAATTTAGGGATGACACCAATTTGGGTGGAGCTTTAGACCCCTCTGGAGTATAGCGCTAGGATCCAGACTCACCGAGGTAGATTGGAGGAAGGCCCACAATCGATCAGATGAAATTCAGTGAGGACAAGCACAAAGTTCTGTGCTTGGTATGGAATAATTGCATGCACAAATACAGACCATGGGATGGCATTGAAAGTGAAATCCTGGCTCTTTTTGAAAGCAGATGTTTTAGTCAGTGGACGCAAGATTTTGATATAAGTGGCATTGCACACCAGACTGTGCAAAATTAAGCAGCATTCTCCCTCTAAAAGGTATTTTGAAGTTCAGTGGCACTGTGCTGTCAGGGATCTGGCTTTACAGTATGAGTAGGATGTGTGTTCTCTTTTGTAAGGTAGAATGGTATTTTTGACATTCCTGAAGTTCCTAATTACTGGAGTTAATTTTGTATTTCTAGCATGGACAGAACATCTATTTTGCATTTCCCACTAGTGTCTGGTTGTGTTGTTTTTTTGTTTCATGCTTTATCCTGGCTTCCAGCATTTTTAGATACCCTTGTATGTGCAGTCTATTTATAGCACCTCTGGATGGTACCTGTTCAAAGTTAGATGCCAAAAACAACTGTTGCTACCCAACACATAAACAAACCTGGTGCTTTAGGAACATTTTTGGTTGCACAATAATGTGCACGAGGAACACCCTTTGCATTTCTTTTTTTCCTCTCATTTTTACTTATAATTTAGAAGTAAGAAATTGCTTGCTATCTGCAACCTCCCTGAAGTAAAACTGCTTCTCTGCTTTTCCTCTTGTGCTGTTATTGTCTAATGTATAAAGACCACTAGGTTCAAGGCTACAGTCTCTGTCAATTTTTCTCTGTTTGATTCAGCCAAGTACTGCTCACATGCTCAGTTATAAGCACAGGACTTGTCAGTGGAACTGCTTGTGCTTACAAATAAGCATGTGACTAAGTGCTTTCCTGGACCCTGGCCTCTTACTCCGGTCTTACCCAACCGTTTTCATTTACAGTCCTGAATATCTGTATTTAAATAGTCCCCAAAGGTTCTAACCCCACAGTATTGCATTTTATAGCAATGGCGCTAGAATAAAATCCACAAGCCTTTCTCATTCTAAACCCTCTGTAGTTATGCATTTTCCTAAGTCCTTCTCCGTTCAGCAAAAAATATAAAAATGCTTAAAGGAAAGTATCTGCTTGAAGTCAGTGGCTGAGCTGGCATCCAGGAAAGTCTCAGTATTCTCCCAATTCATGTTTTTTCTCCTGCTTCATATGCTTCTGGGTGCACGCATTTTTTTCATTAGAGGAAGGCAGAAAAGAAATGGCACTGTATTGAAATTAATATCAGACCTGGGTCTGAAAAGACTTTACTTCAGCCCTAAAACTTTTCCAAAAATCTCTAGCAGATATGTGGTTGCAATGCTTCCTTTCATATTTGTTGCTACCTGTACGGATGCAAAGTTGTAGCACGGTGTATGAACAAAAGCACCAGAGAAAGAAGTGCTCTTGATTGTAGAGCTGGAAGTCATAGAGGAGCACAGGTGGAGTGCTCTACATAGAATTGCTTCTGTGCATCTTTGTGCCGTCTTACAATCTCTTTGAACTGCTAATTTATTTCACCTACAAGTGTTTACAGAAGTCTGTTTTGCCCACAGGTGTATGGGCTTCTGGAGCTGCATCAACTTGTTTCTTTCCCAGAGTATCTTCAACTGCATATTTGGATGAAATCCTAGCCCCTTTGAAGCCAAAAAGGATTTGAGGGCCAGAGACTGCTTCCAGAGAATCAGAAAGAGAGAACTGAAGCTGAGGTACCCAAAGAGGGAAATGGTCATTTCCTAAACTATTTCTGATCTCATCTATATCAGTTTGCTCTTCCATCTTTTTTTAACTTCCTTCCCTATTTCTAATGTGCTGCGATCTATTCATTTTAAAACAGCAGACCAAGTTCTTCCTCTCTCCTCCACTTTTGTCTCCCAATAACTATGTCTAGTACTATATCACATACCAGAAAGTCATTCTGGTCTGTTAGGTCAGTATGTAATTAAGTCATTTCTTTGTATTTGGTATTCTTCTCTATGCCTGGGACAATGTCATGCTATCAGGTAAATATATAATTGGGCAATGTTTTACTAGCTGGTATTAGGTAGCAAATAAGTGAGTATTGTGTAGCTCCTGTTATACGATATATGCGAAGGGCATTATACTATTTACCTGATTAGTAGGCCTTTTGTGGCTCTGTTAGCATATTATGGTAATCACTTGGAAATTCACTATCTGCCAGGAGTTTCCACTCAATGCTATTGGAGATGCCATTGTGGCCTGCCTGTACATAGAAAGAGAAAGCAACTGGGGTATTTTGGGTACAACCACTGAATGGCAACTCCTGGCAATGGACATCTTGTTAATGGCAACCATTGTGTTTAGTTGAGATGCTATCTCCATGGTATGGATCCGTCTGGAAATGTCTTGGTGGTGTTTCTTAAGCCATAACTTAATTTCAGTACCCAACTTAAGCCCAATTTCAGTAGCTGCTTCATAGCTTGTCTTTGTGCAAAAATACTAATTGAAAAACCACAGGTGTCATATTCTACCCCTGATATTCTGTGGGTTCGGTGCCTGGCCATAACCTAGCTGCCTGGCCAGGCCTGCTGACTGTGAACATGTTCCTCTCCAGAGGAGAAAGGCCTGTCTGGCAATCACTAACTGGGGATTTTTTTAGTTATCTCCTACTCCTTCCCCCTAAACCTGGGATTCTGTTCCTGCCTCCCTATTCCCCATACACAAGTGAGGTGACTGGATGAGAGGAGCCTGACTCCCATGGTAAGGTAGGCGCCTAAATCACGTAAGTGCTTTCGAAACTTCTCCTGCAAGCCTCAACTTAGACATGTTAAAACCGATAAGAAATGTAAAGATATGGCTTGAAGTAAAATCAGATCTTTGAAGCAGGTTAATTAAATAATTTTCTTCCACCAACAGATGTTTTACTACCAGCCTTTGAATGTACTAATTGCCCCAAACAGCCTCCAGACATCTTGCATAAATCATTCTGTTATGCAAGGCTGGGGAAAGGCAGTGGGTCTCTGAGCTATCATAAGTAGGTTAACGTGAACATTTCACAACCAGCAGATGTGGATCTGCAGGCAGCTAGATGTTGATAAATTTTCCCCTACAAATGTTTTGTGTACCTGAAACACCATTAATACTTGTCAGTGGAAACTCAGGACCTCATTGGGCACCTTGGGCCAGATTTTGAGCTAGTGTAGAGTGACATCAGTTCCCAGCAGTTGAGTATTCAGCCTCAAGACATAAAGCTTTTCTTACTGAAGGCCTCGTTTTGGCTCAGAACGTACAGTTCATGGTTTTGGGCATCCATTTTAAGGTGTAATTAATTTTTCCATAACTAGGCAAAGCTTTTATAGAGGCTTCTCTCAATCCCAGGTAAAGGAGCACTTGTCCTTATCTCTTCACATATAATGTGGATTGTATTTACATACTAATTGCTAAATTGTGCCTTTACTTTTCTGTCTCTGTTTTTACAGTGTCCACCTGAATTAAAGCACCTGAATTAAATAGCAGATTTCATAGATTTCATAGACATTAGAGCTGGAATTGACCTCTGAAGTCATCAAGTCCAGCCCCCTACCCCAGGGGCAGGAAGTCAGCCGGGGTCATAGGATACCAGCAAGATAAACATCCAAATTTCTCTTGAAGGTGTTCAATGTGGCTGCTTGAACCACCTCCCCTGGCAATCTATTCCAGACCTTGGGGGCTCAGACAGTAAAGAAGTTCTTCCTCCAAGGTGTTAAATACTAACCGCTTGCTCACACAGGCCACATAAAGTACTGATAGCTTGGGTAGCAAAATGTGTAGTAGTGGGTAATTAATGAATAAAAACAAATTAACTTACAATTTTAAGAATGATTTATTTTCCCACCACTGTCCTAGCACCAGCTGTAAAAACCAGTCCCAGAGGAACCACCACAGAAGGAATGGAGAATTGGATCTGGGCCAGATGCAGAAGGCACTGTACAGAAGTGCCTGTCAAAGGGGTTTCCTCAGGAAGGTGATGTGGCAGGGGGATCTAGAGAGAAGGGTCGGCCCTGTTGCTTTCATTGTTACGTTAGGCTTCAAACTTAGACTCATAAAAATCATAAAAAATTAGGGGTGGAGGGGACCTCAGTCCAACCCACTGCTCAAAGCAGGACCATCCTCAACTAGATCATCCCAGCCAAGACTTTGTCTAGCTGAGTTTTGAAAACCTCCTAGGATGGAGCTTCCACCACCTCTCTGGGGAACCTGTTCCAGTGCTTTACTACCCTCCTAGTGAGAAAATTCTTCCTCATATCTAACCTAAACTTCCCTTGCTGCAACATGAGCCCATTGCTCCTTGTTCTTCTGAATGCGTCTGTGTGGCTTTCAACTGTTACATTTGGATGTCGCCAGGGATCCTGTCTTTGACTGACAAATGCAGTTATAAATGCAGATTGTTGTTCTTGTTCATGGGCATCACGTTCTCTATTTGTTGGGGAAGCTTGGAGCTCAATAGGCTGGGCTTGGGTTCCTGTTGACAGTCTGAGGTTTTCTAGGAAGGTGCAGTTAAATGAATGAAGAACCTCCTTATTGAAGGTTGAGCAGTGGGGGGGGTGGCCTGGAGTGTGGTCTGTTAGGACAGTGTTTCTCAACCTTTTAAGTACCAAGTACCCCCTAACTTCTGAAAATTTGAATAAGTAACCCAACATTCAGTTTTCCAGGGGATTTTATAGTTACTGACTAATGTGTACCATATGTTGGAAGAAGGGCTCGGTATATAGGGCTGTGATACGGCAGATGTCTGATCTGGCGTGGGTAGGGTTGCCACCATTTGCACCAGGGATGCACAACTGAAGTATGTACCTGGGCTAGAGGTGATGTCGACCAAAGCTAGGAGGGCTGAACACCAAATTATTACTGGGGAATTACATTTTTTAAATTGCACCAAATTTTTTGCCAGTTTTGAGGGCGAGAGAGAAGGGAAAAGAGGGCGAGAGAGAGAGTGTGTTGGGGTACTCATGTACCCCCTGCCTGTGTCTCGCATACCCCCAGGGGTACACATACCACAGGTTGAGAAACTATGTGTTAGGAAACATAGCAGAGACAGCTCGGGTGACTGCGTTTTATGTGCACCATATCCCTGGCCCTTTGGTTCACCCTTTTCCAAAACAGCCGACCAGATTCATTTCCCCCCCCTGTGATTAAAGCACCGTAATTGGTTACACTTGTCATTTTCCCTGTGCCATGGGCTTGGCAACTGTCAGTTGGCAAATTATTTTTTTAAAATACACCTGGTGTTAACACTGTAGAAAAAAATGCAAGTCTCTCTACAGAGACGCGTGGAACGCTGGAACTCAGCCTTAGCTACTGCTTCTTCTCTGTGTATAAATATATACATTTATGTAAATATATACAAATGTGCATGTTGTAAATTATAATGACAAGGAACCTCCACTGAAATAGAAGCCTTTCTGTGAAGCCTGTGGTTTGCTTATTCTTTCTGCACTGGCTTCTGCTTCTCACATCCTTCACAGGAACATCACCAACACTCGTGAGTCACTGTGCAGGCACTAAATGTCAAAGTTGAAATAAAGTTTACCGCCACGGTTGTGAATGTGAATGTGAATGTTACAAATGTGATCAGTGGTGTGTCACTCTTGTAGCATGGATGTCTGGTTAGGAAAGTTTTTTTTTTTTTTTTTTACCTCCGGGGGTAAAGGGAGGGAGGGATTGGGCCGAATGCATCTGTGTGGCTTTCAACTGTTACGTGTGGATGTTGCCAGGGATCCTGTCTTTGACTAACAAATGCAGTTAAAAGTTCAGATATGCAAGGTAAAGAGCCCTCCAAGCTAAGAGACATAGGGCACAAAGCCCTCCAGGCTCTGCTGCCATCTGATGATGTGCTATCCCACCCTGGAGCAAAGGTGAAAATGTTTGCATTATTCCCACAGGTTCCTGTAGGTGCAGTCAGCAATACGAAGTTCTTGTCATTGCTTGAAGGTATCCACAATCATTCTTTTTGGACAGTTTTTATTTCTGAGACAGCATGTAAACAGGAACCCCTATGGCAGTGGTTGTCAACCATGGGTACTTAAAAAGGTTGTAGCGGGTACGGGGTGCGGGGGGTGGCTCTTACCACTGCGTGCACCCTAGCAGAGACCTAGTGGGGATGTGCCTCCCAATCTGTGTGTGGGGCGGAGGCTGATGCCATTGCACACTGGGCTTTGCACACCACTGTACCTACCACCGCCGGGCTGCACTGTGCCCCCTGCCTGCCCGGCGGCAGGACGCATGTGGCATCACTCCACTCCTGGGGTAGCTGTAGCGGTGCGCACAGTGGCAGCCACCTCTGCACCATGCACAGATCGGGGGGGCATGCGCCCCCTAGGCTCCACCAGCAAGCAGTGGCAGGAGTCCCCCCCCACCCATTCCCCTCCCCGCCATGGCCCTGGATGAGCTGCCTGGCCTCCAATTGTCCAATGACCTGGCCCAGCCGGGGTCCCATTCACCTCAGCCCCTGCCCTTCTCTATGCCCCACTCCCTCCCTCACCATGGGGACCTTGATCTGCCCCCCCAATGGCCCTTTCCCCTCCCCCACAGACTCACCTGCTGGGGAGGGCAAGGGGGGGCATGCGCACACTCAACCCCCCAAATAATTTTAATATAAAGGGGTGCATGAGCTGAAACTTTGAGATGGAAGGGGTACGCTTGTTAGAAAAGGTTGAAAACCCCTGCCCTATGGGAACTGCATGATGCATGTTTCATTGATTATCCAGGG